ACTGAGGGGATATTATACAAAATAAAAATGTGTCAATATATATTTTTTAAATTAACCCCTAGGCCCTTAACTGAGTGAAATCAAATCATACTTCCATAGTGGAAGAGTTGTCTTTTTTCCAATACATTTTATATCAATGTGTCTTATTTTTTTTTAATATTTAGTTTTTAGTTATAGTCAGACACAATATCTTTTTTTTCATTTATTTATTTCTATGTGGTGCTGAAGATTGAACCCAGGTGCTCGCATGTGCTAGGCAAGTGCTCTACTGCTGAGCCACAAGCCCAGCACCACCGCTCCCCTTTTTATCTTATTTTTATCTTTTTTTTTTTTTTAAAGTACCAGGGATTGGGCACAAGGGTGCTTAACTACTGAGTCACATCCCCAGCCCTTTTTATAGTTTATTTAGACACAGGGTCTGGCTTAATTGCTTAGGGCCTTGCTATGTTTCTGAGGCTGGTTTTGAACTTGTGATCCTCTTATCTCAACCTCTTGAGCTGCTGGGACTACAGGTGTGTGCCACACTGTCTAGCCTAGTTTTAATCCTTTTATATTCAGGATGCTATTCAGTCTCTGTTGATTCTAAGAACAGTAATTATTTGAAATTGACATGCCACTAGATGATTTGGCCACTAGATGCCCTTAATTTAGCTAGTTTCTTCTTTTTTGGTGGGGGTGGGTGGTACGTACTGGGGATTGAACTCCATGTTAATAGATCACTGAGCCACATCCCCAGCCCTATTTTGTATTTTATTTAGAGTCCGAGTCTTACTGAGTTACTTAGTACCTTGCTTTTGCCAAGGCTGGTTTTGAACTAGTGATCCTCCTGTCTCAAGTTCCCAAGCCACTGGGATTATCTTTATCCTTTCTTTCTTTTTTTTTTTTAATATGTGTTTTTTAGGGCTAAGGCTATGGCTCAGCGGTAGTGCACTTGCCTGGCATGTGTGAGGCACTGGGTTCGATTCTCATCAGCACAATGTATAAATAAATAAAGGTCTAGCAACAACTAAAAAAAAAAATTTAAAAAAACCCTTAAAAATACGTATTTTTTAGTTGTTGATGGACCTTTATTTTATTCATTTATTTATATGCGGTGCTGAGAATCCAACCCAGTGCCTCACACATGCCGGGCAAATTCTCTATCACTGAGCCACAACCCCAGCCTGATTATCTGTGTCATTTTTAAAGGCATTTCTGAAAGCAGGTTGTTGTTGTTACCAGGGATTGAAYCCAGGGACACTTAACCACAAAGCCACATCCCCAGCCTCCATTCCCCCCACCTTTTTAAAAATTTTAAAATTTTGAAACAGTGTCTTGCTAAATAGCTGAGGCTGGCCTTAAACTTGGCAGTCTCCCTGCTTCAGCCTCCCAAGTTGCTGGCTTTGCAGCTGTGTGTGAAAGCAATTTATTTTATTAAGAGACAAGGTCATTCTGTGTGTCCCAGGCTGTCTTTGAATTCCTGGGCTCAAGGTATCCTCAGCATCCCAAGGAGCTGAGATTATAGGAGCATGCCACTATACCCAGTGCATTTGTTTTTCCAGCAAAAAAAATCTTAGGTACATCTTGAGTATCGTGTCTTTAAATTAACCATCTCATTTTCAAGGATCACTGGCTCCTTTTAGAGGAAAGTAGTGTTAGAGATAAAAAACTAGGCACTGAGAGATCCATGAGATTTTCTGTATAGTGACTAAAGGTAGACAGGATGATACCAGATAAGAAGCTACTTGAGTTAACTGAATTTCTCTTTTTCAAAAGTCATAAGTTTCTATTGCAATTCCAGTTTCTTCCTTGTAATAATCTGTTTCCTTTTTTCTAATAGTGTTGAACTATTTTATAGAGGCATACCAAAGATATGTTTATAATGTCCCTTAGATGTGGATGTTTTTATTAGTCTCCTTTTTGAATCTTTTTTTAAATAACATTTATTTTTATATGGTGCTGAGGATTGAACCCAGTGCCTCACATATGCTAGGCAAGTGCTCTACTGCTGAGCCACAATCCCAGTCCCTCCTTTTTGAATCTTGACTCAAATGGACTGGAATTTGATTCTGAAATCAGTTGTTTAGTTTCTCCTTGTTGACATCCAAAGAAACCCATCCCTCATACTAAGAAAACACCAAAGAAAACAGGCACAATATCTGGAAAATCAGATGTTGACCTATACAAATAGTGGATTATAATCAGAGATAGTAGGAAACCTTTAGATCCTTTAGACTTTATCTAAAACTGTCTTTCAACCTTTATTTTCTAGGTAATTTTCTTTTTTTGGTACTGGGATTGAACCCAGAAGCACTTAATCACTGAGCCACATCGCYGACCCTTTATTATATTTTATCTAGAGACAGGGTCTCACTGAGTTGCTTAGGGCCTCAGTAAGTTGATGAGGCTGACTTTGAACTTGTGATCCTCCTGCCTCAGGCTCCTGAGCTGCTAGGATTACAGGCATGTGCCACTGGGCCCAGCTAGGTAATTTTCTTTTTTATATGATATTACGGGGATAGGAAGTTGTGATATAAATATCTATGATTTAGCATACATGCATAATCCCTTTCACTTTTGTATTCTGAGGTAATAATATTACTGTAGAGATATACTGTCAACAGCATTCCATTCTGTCTTTTATGTTTCACCTGTTCCACTAGAGGGTGAGCTACATGAATATACCTGCTTTGACTTGGTCACTGGTGTATTCTTAGTGTCTATTATGAAGCTAAACACAATAGTAGCTGCTGTAAAAGTCTTTGGGGCAAGGCTACAGATCAGTGGTAGATCATTTGCCTACCATGTGTGAGCACTTAGATTCACTCCCCAGCACCACAAAAATTAATAAAAATAAATATTATTTGTTGAATGAAAACATGATAGCATTATTTCTCTGTTTCAAATCTTAATGGAAGAATGATTGTTTTAGACTGTTAGCAGTTCTAGATTCAGCCCAGCTTGGAGGAGAGACTATAATTTTGCTTAGTAGAAATCCCTGGATTAGGGTGTTTTCCAGAGTTAGTTGAGTTGGTGGCTCAGCAGAATGAGTTCTGTTGTCTCAAGGGTCAGTTACCTGTGGGCTGGCCCATCCTGTTTATAAGGTGGCTGCCAGCAGCCGTCTGTTCACATCCACTTGGAGAAAGTGGGAGAATAGCTTTCTGGTTACAGTTTATTTGTTCAAGAACCTAAATGAGAAAAAGATAGTATGGGAAAGATGAATGAATATCTTACTTCCTTTCTTGACAGGGCAGACAGCATGAATTAGATGAGTTGGCAAAAGTTGTAAGGAGAGCTAGTACCTTCAGAATAAAGAAGTTTTGAGATGCTGGAGTATAGGATGACAATGTGGAGCTTTTTTCCTAAATATTTGGAGAAAGGTGAGAATTCACCCATGCTTAGTACATGGAGTTGTATGAAGGAAACTTATTTGCATTTTGGCTTTTACACACCAGCTTTTGCTGCAGGATGCTAACTTCCCAAACCTGAGTTYAAATTAGTACCTCTAAATAAATTAAAGTTGAAAACAAAAGTAGTCCATGATCTGAGTTGCCAAAACTATCTGTGGACTTAAAAATAATAATAATACATGCACATTATTGAAAACAAGTGTGAATACAGAAAAAGGTATAATGGGGCTAGTCACCCTCATGTCTGTTATAGCTTTGCCTCCTCTCTCCCCTGGAGACATACGTTCTCAATAGATTACATGAGTCCTTTCAGAACATAGTGGAGCAGGAGAGAGATGTGTGTGCTTGTTACATACGTTCTTCTGCCTCATTTCTTCATTCTCTTTTGTTGCCTGATTTTCTGCCCTGGATAGAGGTACTCATCTGTGRGCCATGCTGGATGTGTCTAGTATTTTGTGGTATAAGTGATGTTACTGTGAATATCCTTGTATATAAAAACCTTATTGAATCTTGACACATATTATCAACAAGGCAAATTGCTAGTAGTGGATTTCTGGGTCAAAGTATATGAACTTTTTTTTTTTTTTTGGTACTGGGATTGAACTCAGGGATGCTTTACCACTGAGCTTCATCCTCAGCTCTTTTTATTTTTTGTTTTGAGACAGGGTCTTGCTTGTTGCTTAGAGCCTCRTTAAGTTCTTACAGCCTCACTAAGTTGCTGAGGCTGATCTTGAAATTGTGATCCTCCTGCATCAGCTTCCTAAATTGCTGGGATTACAGGTGTGCACCACTGTGCCTRGTACAGTTTTTAAATTGTGGCAGATTCTGTTAAATTCCTCTCCAGAAGGGTTGCAGCAATATTCATTCTCTGTCCTCTTGTTTGCTTTTTCTTCTGGCTGATGATAGGTAAAATTGTTGACTTTACATTTTGAATTTTGTTTTTGAATTGAGAGACAAATTGAGTATATTCTTTGGAATTTATTTTTGTGTTATTCAATTTTTTTTTTTTTTTTTTTTTTTGGTAAACTCTCAAGTGATTGCCTTTTCTTTATAATATATAGGAGCTTTGTAGGTGAAGGAAATAAACTCATTGGTGCCATCTGGTTGTAGTGTTTTTTTCCCAAATTTGTTATAAATCTTTTTAAAATTTAGAAGATTTTTATTTTTATTGAGTTAAACTGTCAAGCTTTTTCATGATGACTCCTAGTTTTCTGTTCTGACTTGGCTACTCTGCCTGCCATCACCAGTGTGGCACATCTGACTAAGCCATGTCAGCTTGATCAGGTGTAAAGCTGGAACAACTAGACCTTAGGACCCCAGGAATGTTATCAGAAGTCCCAAGTCCTTATCTGTGTTGAATCCTGGTTCCCTTAAGGCTGCTTCATGTCTGTTTACTCATCAGGGTGGGTGGTGAGACCGAAGCCTAGAATGGAAGGTGGGGTAGAGCAGGTATGAACCCCACTAAGATGATATTTGGTAAATGCCAGGTGGTCAGTGGGGTCCATTGTCTTTGGGCTCTTCTTTAGATGACATCAAAGGGGGTTTAGGATTGAGACTTAGAACAGATAAACCATTGTCTTTTTGGGTATAATTTTGAACTTTTTCTTATAGGTGAAGAAATGGCATTTGTGAAGAGTGGATGGTTGCTGCGACAGAGTGAGTACAGGACATGTGGGTTGCCTTAGGTTCTGTGTCTATTTCTATTTGCTAAAACAGATGACTTTTAAAAATAAATCATAAAGTCTTATATTTTTCTAATATTTATTTTTCAGTTTTCAGTGGACACAACATCTTTTTTTAAATTTTATTTTTATGTGGTGCTGAGGATTGAACCCAGCGCCCCTCGCATGCCAGGCGAGCACGTTACCGCTTGAGCCTCATCCCCAGCCCCAAATCTTATGTTTTTTCCTCAATTTCCTCTTTGGGATTTTCATAACTATAAAACACCTTTTTGTACACATGGAACTCTTTTTTTTTTTTTTTTTTCTTTTAGTACTGGGGATCATACCTAGGACCTYATACACGCATGCTAAGCAGCCACTGTACAACTGAGCTGTATCTCCAGCTTCTGGAACTCCTCCTTACTTGTTGAATTGATAAGAACCAGGAAATGATGGCAATCCTTACTGTTTTCTCTTTGCTTAGTAGCATACTTTATTGTTAATGGTTGACCTGAGACTGCCTGAATCTGACTACACCTAGCTGCTGTACTATATATAGCATGGAGGTACTGATCATCTTGGGTGTGGGAAATGCCTGTCTTACCTGGTGACTGAGCAGTGACTCAAGATTCTGAAATACAGGAGGGCTTTGTAATTATGTAGAGGAAGACTGGACCTGAGGCAACAAGTTTATCAAAAGCCACACTTTTTTTTTTATAAATCTCCAAAGGGACTCCAGAAAAGAAATTTAAATCTCTTTTAAGAAAGTGTGATAGAGGGGCTGGAGATGTGGCTCAGCGGTAGCGCGCTCGCCTGGCATGTGCGCGGCCCGGGTTCGATCCTCAGCACCACATACAAACAAAGATGTGTCTGCCGATAACTAAAAAATAAAATATTAAAAAAAAAATTTGTATAAAAAAAAAAGTGTGATAGAGATCCACTTTCCTAGACTTGTCTCAGATCTTTCTTTCATAAGTAGCTCACCTCTGAGGCTGCCACTCCAAGTAAGATTCATCCTGTTTAAAAATGAAAATTCACCTATGTTTATTAAAGAAAAATAGACTCTTTTGTTGCCGTAGAAAGAGCAGGATTAAGGAAAAGGTGATTACCACATTATTTATAATTCTAAACTGTGGCACATGTAATTGGTTTACTGTTCAGAGACATGAGGGGTGCCTGCAGAACTTAGCTAATATTGAGTCTAGTATTGAAGAATCAACTGCATACCTTGGATAGTTTATATAAAAACAATTGTCTATGAAGTTTATTTTTGTTCCCATTATAAATATTTTTCATATACTCATTTAATTCTTACAATAGCTCCATGAAGTAGGTATTGTTGTTTCCATTTAAAATTAAGATTTTGTGARATGAGGTAATTTGGATGTAAACAAACTATGGAAGGTAGAAATGTTGCTGAAAGCTCAGTCCTTGTCTCTGATGCCAATCCAATAACAAGGACACTGTTTTGAGAAAAAGAAAAAAGAAGGATTATTGCTTTTCTAGCAAAGGAGAAACGTGGGAGACTCCTATCCCAAAGGCTATGATTCTCCCCATCGGGAGGGACACCAGGGTTGGGGTGGGGGGTAGTTATATTCCAGGTGTGCTCTGTACAGATCCCAGGGCTCCCTGTTGGCTGTTAGGATTCGTTTGTTGATTTGTGAGATATTCATTCACTTCCCAGATCCTCAGTACACATCTTCTTCCTCTAGTGGATGTTCAAGGACTGTTAACTAGGGGAAGAAAAGGTAACACTGTATCCCTAATCTTGTTAGGGAAGGGAGAAGAGAGAAAAAAAACATTTAAAAAAACAATAACAACAACAACAACAAAAAAACCCTCAGAGCAACAAGGCCTATATTCAGAAGGTGAAGGAACTGTTAAGAGATTTTTATTAAAGCTCAAGACTGAGTTCATCATTAACACTCTTTCTATCCAGAGATGATTGTTCAATTTGTGTGTTCTGTATGACCAGATCTGGAGCAGAACCACATGTCCTCTCAAGGTCTGTGACAGTCTGGTAGTCTTAGCATAGATAGAGTTATTGTAATGTTGGATTTGTACAGAAAGTCCTTATATATTGGAGCCTCGACCCAATCTTTGTGAAGTTTGCTTGTTTTGGGTTTTTGGTTCCAGTCTTCCCTATGGTCAAGGACACGGGAGCCTTGTTTAGACCTTGAGGAAGTCTCCTCCTTTGCTGGTTCTGTGGATGTCTTCTGATTTTCTCATTAGGCCCTATCACATTCTTGTTTGAGGACAATCATTTTCCATTACAGCTGAATGTAAATGGTGTAGACTTTTAGTGAACAGTAACCCTTTTAACAATTTTTTGTGTTCCTTATCAGTGCCCAGCATGGTGATATTTATACACAAAATAGATGTCCAGATATTTTCAGTATCCTTGCCCATGGCTATTATAGAGATGTATATTCAACAGACGTTTTCTTAATGGCCAATTCAAACATGTGATTGATTTTCCTTTGCTGAAAGAAGAAGTATTAATCTCAGTAACATAAAATGAGGTGAGATRTATTACGTTTACTGGTTACAGAAAAGCAGAGATATACTTGTGCTTATGGGTAGGCCAGGCAGTCCCCAGGATTCATTTTCCTGTCATTGCYGCATAGGACCTAGTACTTGGCCTTCGAGGGACAGCCTGATTTGGGAGTCTGCAGTCAGGTCTTTGATTGCCTCTGAAATACTTCAACAGAACCCCCCAACCTGATGATTTCACCTGTTTTCATGACTCAATCTGGTAGTTTCTGCAGRTTCAGGCACTGCCAATCACAGTGCTGGGTGTCACCACTAAACAGCGTTGGGAAGTGCTGTGACTACTCCTCCCATTGAGGAGGGTGCCTGATGCAGGTAGTGGAAAGGCTGGATATCAAGTTTGATATCAGTATCAGGCAGGAGAGTATAMACAGAAGTATGGGAAACAAGAGTTTTGCACATTGGCCAAGAACAGGCTAGGATGTGCAGGAACAGAATGTATAGTGGGCAGTGTATGGATGTGAGAAAGATTCAGGGTTGGCTTGTAGCTAAAGTTAGCTGCGGAGTCCGCTTTCAGGTTTCACTCTGGTAGATGAGGAAATTATAACTTTATAAAGTTAATTGCCTAGTCCAAGTTACAAATGAAAGTATGGTCTCTCAAACTGACAGAAACATGAGGTAGTAGGATGTGCCAGGATAGGAGTACCCATTTATCCAGTGTCTCAGTCCTGTGTGTCTGCAAACATGCTGTGGGCTTCCTATAAGGGGAAATGTTAGAAAAGAGTATATATGAAAGCTCTTGAGGAAAAAGAAAATAAACATTTTTTTCCCAGAGAGGAAGATACTATTTTCATTACATATAGAGACTTTCCAGTCCAGCATTTTCAGATCAATTTAGCTTATGTTGGGAAAGTTTAGGAAGTCAAAAACGTTTAAAGTTTAGCTTAATTCTACTTGGGAAATTAGATATTAGCTATTTTTCATTAACTCAAGCAAACTTTTTTTTCCCCCCTTAACTTTTTTATTTTGGGACTTGGCCTTTGGTTAGCAACCTGCTCAGTGTCTACAGTACATGCTGCCTGCAGGCTGTTACAGCAGGTGTGGGTCAGGCCACCATGGTGTTTGTTTCTACCCCCCCCCCCCGCCCTTTAAAAAAAATGTTTTTAGTTGTAGATGGACAAAATACTTTTGTTTTACTTATTCATTTTTATGTGGTGCTGAGAATTGAACCTAGTGCCTCACACATGCTAGGCAACTGCTCTACCACTGAGCACATCTACTACTTCCATCATTGAGCCCCTACTACTTCCATTTTGATGTACTGCTTCAGGCAGTTCTGTGCAGGTGTGTTTAGTAGACCACAGGAGAGTTTCCTTTGGTTCTATCCTTAGAGGACAAAATCTTTTGTTTACTCTGCCCAAAGCCAACCTTTCCCATTTATTTTTTTAGGTACTATTTTGAAGCGCTGGAAGAAGAATTGGTTTGACCTGTGGTCAGATGGTCACCTGATCTATTATGATGACCAGACTCGGCAGAGTATTGAGGATAAGGTCCATATGCCGGTAGAYTGCATCAATATCCGCACAGGGCATGAGTGTCGGGGTAAGCTACCACCTCCTTAGCCAACTTCTGTCATCTGTTCTTCCTCATCTTTTTTTTTTTTTGGTACTTGGGATTGAACCCAGGGGACCACTGAGCCACATCCACGACTCTTTTTTATGTTTTATTTAGAGACAGGGTCTTGCTGAGTTGCTAATTTGCTGAGGCTGGCTTTGAATTCAGAATCCTCCTGCCTTAGTCTTCTGAGCCGCTAGGATTACACCTGGCCCTCTTCCTCATTCTTGATGGGAGCTGGATCTTTTTCCTTGCCTGATGATCTTTTTTTAGGACTCTATCTGGGAGGGGCAGCAGGGGTGGAAGTGGGGCCCAGACCCTTAGATCATGACTTATAAAATTGGAACAGGTAGATTTTCTCATCTGAATTATTCTTCAACACGCATGCCGTCATCGTGTGGAGAAGGAACTAGATTGCTGGGAACTCCAAGAAGGATGGAGCCACCCTAGACTGTATTGATTTTATGACTTAAAATTAGCATCTGTTTGATGGTGGCTCCACTGAAGGTCTTAAAATCTGTGATGTCTTGGTTTCCTGCAATTATCCTTTATATTTGCTTTAAAAGAATAGTTTTAAAAAAAGTCATCTTGGCTGCTGATTTTGCCAGTTAGTCTGGCTGTTTCTTTTCTGTCTTCTTGGTCAGGCCACAGGTTATTTTTTAAATTGTAGCACTTGATTTTTTCGTTGTTGTTGTTTTTACTTTTTTCTTATCTACACTGTTAAAAAAATAACCATGTAAATCTTCCTTCATTCTTATTTTTCATAGATATTCAGCCTCCAGATGGGAAGCCAAAAGACTGTCTGCTACAGATTGTTTGCCGAGATGGGAAAACTATCAGTCTTTGTGCAGAAAGCACAGATGATTGTTTGTGAGTTTTGATTTCTTATGTTTAATTTAAAACTATTTTCTGTCTTAATTTCCAGTGGTCCAGAAGGGAAAATAATGGGAGTGGAGTTTTCCTTCAGGCAATAGAATAAGGGACTCTGCAAATGCATGACAGAAATTTATCAGGGTTTTTCCTGATTCTAATTTCTTCCCCTCCAGGACTGCCTGGGCAGGATCCCATTCTGGTGAAATGGTAGAAAGTAATAGCTTTCTAATAATCACTTTGTGCTTTGTGTTTTCTTTTTAAGATTTATAATGGGTATAATGGGCTTAGGTGAATGGTTTTTTCAGTCTTATTCTTTTTATGTAAATGTGTCTTTAATAAGCACAGACATCTGTACTGTGCAGCTTTCTTTGGTAGTCATTGTTCCCATCTGCTATCTTTGAAGAAGGGATAGGGAACTAAACTGCAGGAGAAAAGCCCAACCTCACTAGTCCTCTGCCTGTTGACTTTGCTGTTGGTGTTGGATCAGAAACTTGCCAACACTAAATGAAATTTAGGGGGAAGAATGGATTTACTCTCTCCACTTTGTACCCTACAGTGGGTTAACTCTAGACATGAGAATTCACTAGCAGACATTACTGAATTACTTGTACATATATGATATTATCATAAAAGCCTGCAGACCACTTTTTTCAATGCCTATCCCTTTATTCACATCCTTGTTCATCCTCAATTTACTTGTATGCCAAGTAGGGTTTATTTTAAATCCCCTGTGTAGCTTCTTTTTTATGTTCCTCTGATTTATTTATTTATTTTTATTTTTATTTTTTTAAAGTATTTTTTTTTAATATTTATTTTTTAGGTGTAGATGGACACAACACAATGCCTTTATTTTTATGTGGTGCTGAGGATTGAACCTAGGTCCCACCCATGCGAGGCGAGCGCTCTACTGCTGAGCCACAATCCCAGCCCATGTTCCTCTGATTTATATCAGTGAGTCTTTTTCTCCCCTGGTGCTGGAGATTGAACCTAGGGCTTTTGTGCAAGCTAGGGCAGCACCCTATCACTGAACTACGTCTCCAGGCCCTATATCAGTGAGTCTTAAATAGCATCTTCTGAGAGAGAGAGAGAGAGGGGCTTTATTGAAGACTAATGGAGAAATGATCATGTCAGGCTAATTTGCTGCTTTTATAAACTGTAACTCTACTACTACCCCTTAATAATTTAAGCTAACAAGGGCTGGGGATGTGGCTCAAGYGGTAGCGCGCTCGCCTGGCATGCGTGCGGCCTGGGTTCGATCCTCAGCACCACATACCAACAAAGATGTTGTGTCTGCCGAGAACTAAAAAAAAAAAAAAAAAAAAAAGCTAACATATATTAAACACTTACTTTGTACTAGTCATGGAGCTAACTGCTTTTCAGATGTTGTTTAATCCTGTTCRTATTTTATAAAGTGGGTATTGTTTTTCCTGGCATAAAAGGTTGAGGCATAGAGAGATTAAGTAACTTCTGAACTAGTTGTTATATGCTCCTTTAATAAATTAACATAATTTTAATAGCTTCAAACAAATCTACATGTATTATTACATTTCTGGAAGAAAGATGTTTGACACCAAATTCAGACACAAAGTGTCTGCAGGACCTTATTCTGCTGAATGCTTTAGGAGAGAATCTGTATCCTTGCCTTTTCTAGCTTCTAGAGGTCTCCTGCATTCCTTCACTCCTGACCCCTTTCTCACTCCTCAAAGTCAGCAGCAATTGTGTCTGTCTTCTCACTGTCACCTGACTTTGCAGATAGGAAAGGTTACATGCCTCTAAGGACTTTTGATTGGTTTGGTCCTACCTTGATTTTCCAAGATAATCTATCCATCTCAAGGTCTTTAACCTTAATTATAGATGCAGGGTCCCTTTTGCCATGTTTGGAAGTAGACATCTTTGGGGACCATCATTCTGCCTGTCAAGACTTTAGAGTTTGGGCTGGGGATGTGGCTCAAGCGTGCAGCCCGGGTTCGATCCTCAGTACCATATACAAAGATGTTGTGTCCGCCAGAAAAAAGACTTAATCATATTTGTTAGAAAACCAGAACATTTGAAAATAAATGAGCTGAAATTTCAACTCAAGGAAGTGGTAAGATTAGAATAAAGTGAATGGCATTAATAGAGATGAGAGAAGAGGGATGGAGTSAGTACAAAAAGCGAGGGATGAGCACCTGAGATTTCATACTCAAATATCTAATTTTCATGACCATATAAGGGAAGAGTGGTAGATGTGAATATTGTTACAAACTTTATGTAGGACCACTTGGCAGTACCCAGTGAAATAAATGTTTTATCTTTTGACCTAAGCAGTTCTACTCTTTGGAATTTGTCCTGTATGATTGTTTACATAAGGCTAATAAGGATGTTAATAAAAGCATTGTTTTTAATGAGAAAATGTTGCTGACAGTCTACATTTATTCGTTGTGTAGCCTTCCCAAAATGAATAGATCTGTATATAACATGAACTGACAAAACAAGTTGCAGTATAGTTCAAATTTATTAAAAAATGGATCAGATATTAAATTGTAAGCATATTTTAAAGTCTTATACCTACCGTAGATATATTTATAAAAAATAATCTTATCTTTTATATATGTGCATAAGTATATTATATATTCCTAGTGTATGACTTAAATGAATTGATTGGGTCTTGGGGTAATATCTGAAGACCTATTCTTTTTTAAGCCTTTTCAGGAATTCTGATCCTAGCCTGGATTTGAGAATCATTGAAATGTTGCATAACCTCAAATAAAATACCTTTTTTCTTTTCTACAGGGCCTGGAAATTTGCACTGCAAGATTCTAGAACAAACACAGTAAGTTACTAATGGCATTTGCCAATAATTTTTTTTTTTTTTAAACATCCTCCATCTTGTGTAACAAATTGGAAAATAGGAGTTTGGGAAAGGAAACTGGGGAAGATAAGGCTTTCTTGCTCATCTAGCCATGAATGAACAGARCACCTTTTGCTAACAGTGATTGTGCTGGTTTGTGCCAAATGTTTGGGCAGGAGGAACTGTCTTCACATAGACATGCAAGTTTCAGTGTTGTTTTCCAGAAATGTTTGTATATTTTTAAACTTTGTAATACCTTGAATTCTGCTATGGAAAAGGCTCAAAAAAAAAAAAAAAAAAACTACTGCATTTTTTATGCATAGAATCTTAGGTTTGTAAAACCAAAGCATTTTGGGGACTTGTCTGTAGACTTGTTTCTGTTTTCAGGAGGTCACAGAGAGCCCATTTGTAGAGCTTAGTAATGCCACCTTTGTGTCAGGGAGTTAAGGAAACGCTGGCCATTGTTTTCATTCTTTAGTTGTAATTTTATTTTTCTCTTATTTCTTTATGTAAAAAGAAAAGAAAAAGTAGATAAGGCTTACAAAAAAATTTGGGTCTTTCGTTGGCTCTGCTGTCCTCTCCAAGGAGACTTGGGCTTACAAAAGAATGTTTTTAATAAGTGAAAACCTAATAGCTAAATGTCWTTGTTTTCTTTCTGCCAGGCTACTTTGCAGCTCAGTCACATTACCCTCCATACCATGAAAATTCTCTTTTTGGGTGACTTTTAATATGAACCATATAGTAAAAATTTGAGGGTGATTCTTTGTATAGAATTTTTGTATCATGTGTGCGTATGCATGTGTGCACACTCTGGGGATTAAAACCAGGGTCTTAGGCATGTTTGGCACCCACTCTTTCAAGTAAGCTGTACCCACTGTCCTGTATGGGTCTTTTTAAAGAAAACATTGTTTTCTTTTCCACTAACGGGTAATTTAAAGAATTTTTGTTTTAATGCAAAAACAGACTGAGTGTAAGATGTCTCTGCTGCGGTTTAGACTGTGAACATAAGGATTGTCAAGTGGTGTGGTATCTTTTAAAAGGAGTTGGATAACAATGGTGCCTCTGGGGCCTTTCTGGATAGTGAGGGACCACCTTGTTCCTGAATTGAGGGGACGTCTTAATGGGCCAGTTGTCTCTACTGGATTAGGGGAAGTTTTTCTACTTTCCAGATAGCTGTAACTTTAAAAAAAATATATATTTATTTTTTAGTTGTAGTTGGACACACTACCTTTATCTTATTTATTTGTATGTGGTGCTGAGGATTGAACCCAGGGCCTCGCAAGTGCTAGACAAGCACTCTACCGCTGAGCCACAAACCCAGCCCAAGATAGCTGCGACTTTATGTCCTTTAACTTTTTATTTGCTAAGTAAACATCATGCTCTTATCCCCCACTGTCTTTACTCACACAGGCTTATGTTGGCTCACCAGTCCTTTCCGAGGAGACAGTTGTGGCTGCTTCACCCCCTCCATACACAGCCTATGCTGCACCAACTCCTGAGGTAGGGAGCCGAGCTGTGCAGGAGATCATTTATATGCTGGAAATTTGGGATTGAACCCAGAGGGGCTTAACCACTGAGCAACATCCCCACTCCTTTTTATTTTTTGAGACAGGGTCTCACTGAGTTGCTTAGGGCCTTGCTAAATTGCTGAAGCTGGCTTTGAACTTGCAATCCTCCTACCTTAGCCTCCAAAGCCACTGGGATTACAGGTATATACCAYTGCACCTGGCTTGGGCATATAATTTTTTGTTGTGTGAAATATGTTTGCTTTTATTCTTAAACTTTAAATTTTAAAATAATTACAGATTCACAAGAAATTGTAAAGATAGTATAGAGTCTTATCTAATTTTCAACCAGATTCTCTAGATGTTATATGTTAAGTAAGATTGCACCAGGAATTTAAAATTTATGTCCAATCCTAAGTAATTTTTACCATATAAGTAGACTTATATGTAACTGCCATCTCAATAAAGACATAAAATTCTTCACAGTATACTCCTGTGGTGATACCCTTTTATAGTCACACCCTCCCCCATTTCCTGATCCCTATCAATACTGGTTTATTTCCCTGTCTAGAATTTTATCATTTCAACAATGTCATATAAGTGGAATCATATAGCATRTAATCTTTTGAGTTTGAGTGACATTAACCTATGGTGGGACATTTTGGTTGTTTGTAGTGTTTGACTTTTACYAGTAAAACTGCCCTGAACACTTATGAACAAGTTGCCATGCAAACAAAAGATTTTATTTCTCTGGGATAAATGCCCAAATGTGCATTTTCTGGGTCATATGTATGGCRAATATATGTTTAGTTAAAAAAATAAAAAATCCTAACAAACTTATTTCTAGTGACTGCCATTTTTACTTTCCTACCAGTAATATCTGAGTGATTCATTTTCTCTGATCCTTACCAGCAATTGAAAATGTCATTATTTTTTATATTAGCTGTTCCTAAGTGTGTAGTRATGTCTCATTGTGGTTTTAATTTGCATTTCCTTAGTTGTTAGTAAACATCATTTACTTATTTGCATTCTGAGTATCCTCTTTTTWWAAAAAAAATATTTAAGTTTTCAGCAAACACAACATCTTTGTTTGTATGTGGTGCTGAGGATCGAACCCGGGCTGCACGCATGCCAGGCGAGCGTGCTACCGCTTGAGCCACATCCCCAGCCCCTCTGAGTGTCCTCTTAAGTGGAATGTTTCTTCCTATCTTTTCTAGTTTTTCTAATGGTTTCATTATTTATTTATTTTTTAGT